GGGGGCAGGAAGGGGGCAGGGAGGGGGCAGGAACGGGGCAGGGAGGTGGGTTGGAGCAGTAAGTCTTGGCAGCTGTATTTGACCAGCTCAAAGTCCCCATGCAAACGGCATAACCAAGGCTGAGATTGTCGGAAGTACTCACATGATATATTGGGTGGGCTGGCATAGCCAGAGGTGTCGAGGGCAAGGCTAACATTCTGCGTGTGCGGCAAGGACAGGAAGATAGGTGTTGTAGGTGCTCGACTGTATGGGTATCTAGCAGGACCATCTGCCCCGCACTCCATCCAGCACAGGCCACGCGGGACCCTGGCAAAAGCTGGTGCATTCATCCATGATGCAGCAAAGGGTCACACCCATTGGGCCTCATGCCTGTCTGTCTGGATGCGCACCCGAGGGAAAGGGCCGCCAAGATTGCCGCCGATGACCGGCAGCCCGGACAGGGCATTAGCCGGTACCAGCACCGGCGCCTGAACTGAGTTGTTTAATTGAAGGGTGGGCGGTATTGATGGCAATCAACGTCAGTGCACCGCCAGGAAGGTGACACGTACAAAAAAGCGGTAGGCGCAAACAAGAACACGGGAGGCAAGGGTGGGTCGGTTGTTTGTCTGTCTGCGTATGTGTCTGTCTGTATGTCCGTCCGTCCGTGTGTCTATGTCTGTCTCACTCACGCCCCTCACACATGCACACTCATCCTCCCCCAAAACACACGTGTCGGTCTGCGCCATTGAAGGCATGATTTATAATCACCAAAACAGTTATTCCTTCAACACCGTGCCACACATTAAGAGAGGCGGTCACATGATAGTTGAGGCACCTGAAGTATCCCGGACACGCTACTCTTGCCCCACTCACCGGTCAGGGTGGAGCTCTTGGTGTCGGTCAAACCCTGCGAATCCGTCACGATCAGAGTCACACTGCACAAGGTGGCGGATGTGATCAGCGGGACGGCGAAAGGGTCGATCTCCTGGCCCCTGCCGGCGGTGATGCTGACTGGCGAGGCAATGGTGGAGCTGGTCTTGTTGACGTTGCGGCCATTGGGGCAGACCACTGCAAACTGTGTCGAGCAGGGCGGGCTGGCGCAGGACGATGCCGACGCAGACAGCTGGACAGCGTTGGGGTCGCCAGTGGTGACAGTATACGGGGCGCCCGTGAAAGTCGCAACCGGTGGTGCCTGCACAGATTCAATCACAAAGGTGGGTGAGTCAGCGGGTGCGCCTATCCAGCAAAACTTGGGTTTGCAGGACGTGCGGTGGAGTGGAACGTACTGTGTGTTCAGAGGGAACCTGTTTTGTGCCGTGCGCTGCCCACAGGCATGGGTTGAGGACCCAGCACAGCCACCTGCAACGGCCCTGCCTGTGTTGAACCTTTAGTGCTGATGCGGTCGCTGTGATCGAGCGCGGACGTATTAGTTGCTGTTGAATTTTTGGGATACTAGGCGCCTGCGTCCCTCACCAGCAAGGTCAGGGCGTATGAGGGGGAGAGGGCAGAGCCCTGGACGGGGGTTGAGATCTGCACGCTGACGTTGCAGGCCTTGTTACCTGGGGTGAGTGGGTGCGAGAGGATGTGTTGATGGGTGTGGCGGTCAAATTGTGAGTCCAATTAGTGAACCATGCACATAATTTGACCAATGATGACGGCTTCAGAACAGCAAATTGCAGCACACGCACAGATCTCATGTTTGTGTGTGTGTTGTACACAAGCGATGTGCCAGCCCCTACGAGAGCATGGCTCACCATAGGGGCTCCCCGGGTCAATCACTGCACGGACGAGGAGAGGGCAGGTTGCGTGAGCAAGATTTAATTACTGAGTCTTGCAAACTGTTGCATGTGCGGCGGTGCAGTAGCTCTCATAATGTGTCAGGAGCGCAACTGGCAGCTAATTTGATGTGAGGCGTGTGCCATGCGCCTCTGCACGCCCATTCGTTGTTGGCGGCACATCGTTGTCCTGGTCCCTCATGACTCACTCTGTCCAGCCCCAACGGTGACTGCGACAGTCTGGGTGGAGAAGGTTCTGGTGATGTTGCCGTTGCACGTCAACGTCCCTGCAGCCAGTAAGATGATGAGGGATGGCAAGGTTTGCTTGCCAGCGAAGCCCAAGAAGGTCTGCACGCCAATCGATCATCTCTTCTGGCCATGAATGACCTGGCGTTGGAACCATGCAATGCTATTCTGGGCCCTGACATTCCACCAACCAATATTGATGATTGGGTACGGTGTGCAGACAAATACGAACGTAATCTGTCCCACTTCAATCCTTGATTTCATCAAGGCCACTTACATACAAATGTTGCAGCACCAACCATAACGGTGGTGGTGTTGGCCGCCAGATTGACAACCTGTAGGGACCAGGCCAAGGGGCATGTGCGTCAGTGTGGGGCACTGGCTTAGGAACGCAAGGCGGCAAGCCTGTCGGAGGGTGCCTCGGAGCACAGGTCAAACCCCACAAGGTAGGCTTCTTGTGGCGGCCACGGAGCGGCCAGCCGCCAGGCCTGATCCAAATGCAAGCCCCAACGAGACGTTTAGTCATAGCAGCACGGTAGGTTCAGTCATCATAGCATCCAAGGTGCAACGAACAGTATGCTGAAAGGCGAAAGCTGGCTTGTGCAATGGCCAGTACGACTTATGACTTACACCTCCCTCAGTCATGCAGCCCTGAGGCCACAATCACGCCGCCTCACCGAGGGGTATGCCTTGACACTCGTGGTTGGTAGACCGCTAACCACGGGGCTCAGCACTGGCGCGGCCTTCGCGCACGGAAAGGGATGCAAGTGGCAGGGAGGGCAGGTGGCAGGCGTTTAGGACATGATTTCTGACAGTGTGCTACAAGGGCACGGCAAGCGAGAAACCAGACGTTGGGCAGCCCCTACATGCGGCCATCCGATCTCTGCTTTGAAAACAACTGCAAGACAGCTCATCCTGGCCTTGTCATGAGCTGCTGCCACGCAGCGTAGCAAGCTCACTGCAATGTTGAGTGTCATGTCATGGGCAACAGGGCAGCCACGGCTTGTGGTGGCGACAAATGACGCCGTGCAGGTGTACGCTTGTGTTCCAATCTGTATGGCGCTGCCGGGACCGCCTGCCGTGAGAGTCACGCTCAAGCCTGTCGTCGTTGCGGGGCTCGGGCGCCCGCTGTCACTGCGGGTTTGTAGGATTGGAGTTGTAGAGGCGTCATGGACTCAAAGCGACATGTTCAGGGCATTGTCAATCCAGAATACCGGCAACCCTCTCCAGCAGCTCTGTTGTCGACCCAGAGACGCGTCAAGCTCGCCCTGTAGTAAGCGCTGGTCAACATTCCCTGGATCTCGCCCTTCAGCCTCACAACAGGCCCGCACCAAGAGAAGGTCCAGACAACCCTGCGTGAGAAATGCAAAGAGGTGATTGTGGGAGTTCAGCGGACAAGCTGTTGTACTAGGGCAACTGAGCGAGGCGAGCAGCAAGATCCCGCACAGGTTTGACTGCGACCTCAAAACAGCGCCTGGCATGCAGTGCTTGCCTCAAGAGCTTGCAGACCTGCCTGTCCACAGCGACAACCCGCGGGGACGGGTCGCACCAAAGCTGTATAGCGCCCCCGCCAAAGCTACGGTACTGCTGCAATGCGCACAGCCTTGTGCTCACCCAGCGGCGCTGACGGTTGAACCATCGGGCAGGGACGTCGTGACAAGCGACTGCAGCACGACGCTTGTGGCGGTGAAGTCCACATCTTTGCTGAGCACTGTTGTGCGGGCAGGGCCCATGCAGCCAAAGAACGTGCGCGTCATGTGCCTGCAAACGACGCACAACCAAAAGCGGGCACAGGGAGAGGAGGTTGACATAGTTCGTGATCGGTGGGGATTCAGGGCTGCAGGACGGTGTTCGCTGGCAAGGCGGTGGCGGGTGCACTTTCTTGCCGTGGATGCGGAGTGGTTGCTTGACTGCTTCCTGCTGCCATCTCTCCCTTCCAGGTGCGCCTTCTGGCGCAGGGACGGCAAACAGCATTTGTCGCCTGGCTCTGGCCGTGGAGATGAACAAAAATTGTATGCGCACCCACTACCCACCAGTTGTCAGCGCTTGCCATGCTTGTGCTGCGGCTGCGAAATCCCCACTGCAGGCAACAAGTTGCAGGGTGGGCACAATGTCGTTTCGTTGTGCACGGGCTCGTTCAGAGCGCAAGCCGCAGCAGACTGACGACAGGCATTGTGACAAACGGATAATTCGTAACCAATATCTAGGACGCACCTTGAATGTTGACGGCCTGCAGGATGGGCAAGAAATGCATGTCAGATGCAGAGGATGTTATCACGTAAAAGTTAATCAGGGAGCAGCAGCGCTGAGTGGCTGTCAACACATAAACGTGCGCCTGCCCCGACGCAGCTGGCTGGCTGCAGGTGCTGCCCGCCGTTTTGGGGACGCAGCCGCCAGACACTCTGCTGTGTTCCTCCTGTCCCACTGCTATACGCAACAGCTGCCCGCTTGTCATCATCCGCCGCACGGCGACCCACTAGTGGTCTTTAGCCGATCAGACCCCGCCTCCCAGGACGCACCCTGTGAGCGTGAGCCTGAAGAGCGCGTTGATGGCCACTTTCTGGGTGCCGTTGAAGACAGCATAGTCAATCGCCTCTGCTCAGAATCATAGGGGGAGCAGGCAGCACCAGAGGGGCAGTCGCATCAGGAAGGTCCATGGGAACGAAGATGAGGGTAGATGGGAGGGGGGGTGATGCCAGTACCACATCTGCAAATGATGTCAGACTTTCCTGCCCCAGCTGTGAGCCCAACTCATTACCAATGTCCGGCAGGACAGCCAAACGGCTAATCATACACACGAGTAGCCCAGCAATGCTCGCCCCTGCAGTGTGCGGACGCCTGTGGACGCGGCGCTCTCACGTTGCGCAGTCAGACCAGCACTGCGGGAGGCGAACAGAGCGATGGGCTTTATGTTGAGGGTGTTGCTGATGTCAGCCGGCTCCTGAACCACCAGCTCCAGCAGGGATGTCACGTCGCTGCTGCTCCAGCTGACGTCACTGGCAAAGTAGACGTCGATGCTCTGGCCGGCTGCCACAGTCAGCGTCTCGGTTGACAGGCAGGTGGCAAAGCTGCAGGGTTGAAAAGTGAGGAGGGGATGGGCGTTACAGCGTTCAGAGGTTAGATGAGTGTTACCCAATATGTTGAAAGATGTGGGCTGCAAGGCTTTCGCATCTTGCAACGAGATTGCCGTCCAAGCAGCCAGGCTGCATCAGGTGAATGAGCAGGGTGCCCCACATTACAACAACATAGCAGGGGCGATTGGGTGTGCCCGCTCATCCCAGCTGCTGCCCGCAACTGTCAGCAGTGATAGCTCAAGGTTCACTTAGGGTGCGCTGGACTTGCAGGCAGAAAGGTGCTCTTGACCACTTCAACAACTCACGTTTGGCAGTCGTTCTGTGAAGAAAGGAGTAGAAGCAAATGTGAACAGGCACACGGTTGTTAGGTACAGTTTTCTTGCCCACGGACGGGCAGCATTGCATGAGCTCATTATGACCACATAGTAAAATGCCGTCCCTCCTTCAGCAAAACATGATATGTGCTCAGGAGAGGCGTGCTCAAGTTGTGGGGAATGCCCATTAGTCCAGGCAGTGAACGTGGGCATTGTAGCGACAGCTCACCAAGCCGTTGAACTGGAACAGCGCTGGCTGAGAGAATGGCACGTAGGTTCCATTGTTGAAAGGGTCGCTGAAGCCAAAGCCCCCTAGTGGCCCGTTGCCCCACGCCGCGTTGGTTGCTGTCGTGAGCGATGCACAGCCAGTGGTCTCGGCGCGCGTGCACATGTAGTTTGTGAGCGCGTCTCCCTGCACTCAACACGCCGTGGAAAGGTGGTGGGGATGCGTGAAGGCGGAGGGGTGGCCGTGCATGAGGCGTATGGCAGGTCTTCAGTCTACAAAGAGTCAGCAGGGCCCCTCCGCAAATCGCACTTCCCAGCAGCTTCAGCTTCAGCTCTCGGCCGACAAGGCTCAAGGATGCACTGCTGATATCACGTTCTCTTGCCTACCCGTGTCTCTGAGGGGTACATGAGGGGCACCCACACAATGCCCGTGCTGGTTGCATGCCACGGTGGAGCAGTCAGCGGCGCAGTCAAGGTCGCCAGCTGCGAGGTGACTGTCACGCCCGCCATGGCAGGCTGCGCCAGCGTCAGCAGGGTGCCAACTCCGGCCAGCAAGAGGGTGATCCGAGGAAGGGCGCACGCCGCCGTGCGCCTAGCTCGACTGTGCAACACGCAGCCCTGCAATCATGCGCGTCAAACAGACGAAATGGGGTGGGCGAGTGGGGGGGGTGGGCG